CTTCTCCCCTTTCCTCTTCTCCTCTTTCCTCTTCTCTCCTCTCCTTTTTTCTTCTCTCCTTTTCTCTTCTCTCCTCTTCTCTCCTTTTCTCTTCTCTCCTTTCCTCTTCTCTCCTCTTCTCTTCTCTCCTCTCCTCTCCTCTCCTCTCCTCTTCTCTCCTTTTCTCTCCTTTTCTCTTCTCTCCTCTCCTCTCCTCCCCTCATGTCTCTTTTTTCCTGTCACTATTCTTACCCTTGTCTCCTTTTTTCCTCTCTTCCTCCTTTTCTTTCTTTAATATGTCTTTTGTATCTGCCATTTAACATGAATGATTGTTAAAGTTTTATTATCTATTTTTGTTTGTTTTGCAGCTGCTTGACAAATTAGAAACGAAAATGAAGGGAACCTGTGTTGAAGGAGTGATTCCAAGGCTCTTTGAAGGCAAGACAGTGGTGAGTTTTGGTCGATCCAAGTCTGTGCTTTGAAATGGAGGCTTGTGTAATGCTTTATTTTGGATGTCATAGATGAGTCTATGTCTTACATTAATGGCTAGATGTCTTTTGCATTTGAGAACTAGCTGATGGTACATCCTTTTTTTTTTTCTTTTTTGTCTATTTCAGTCTTACTTCAAATGTAAACATGTAGACTACACTTCGTCAAGAACGGAGACCTTTTATGACATCCAGCTTAATATAAAAGGAAAGAAAAACAGTGAGTACAGTGTCTTTTATGGTGCAATAACCCAATTTTTAAGATGATTTTTTCTACCAAAATTTGTAGCAATATTAATTTTTTAAAAATGTGTAACCAGGTGTTTATTGTTGCTTCCTTGTAGTTTTTTTTTCTCAATTGAATGCTCAATTATCTTAATGTTTCAGCTTTCATACTTCCAAGTTGTAGCATGATTTTTTTTTTTTTTAATATTAAAAATGGTTTAATTTTTAGATTGGAAATAATTTCCTCCCTTTTCATCCCTTTCAGTTCTAGAATCTTTTAAAGACTACATTAGTGTAGAAACGCTGGAAGGTGACAATAAATATGATGCTGGTGAACATGGTCTTCAAGAAGCAGACAAAGGTGTCATATTCCAGAGCTTTCCCCCGGTTCTTCATCTCCATCTGATGAGGTTTCAGTATGACCCCATCACAGACTCAAATGTCAAGATAAATGATAGGTAAGAAAACTTCTTTTGGTATATCTGGATTTATGGCTTATGGGATGTACATTCAGTGCCCTTGCATTTTTTTACTCTTTCTCATGTATGAATTTCAGAAGGAACTTTTAGAAATTAAATTAGATTGATAATCATTTTGAAAGCTCTCTCTGTCAGTATGCTCTTAGTTAATTAGTTTGTCTATTATTAAATAGTAATAACTTGTGAAATCTCCTGTTAATTACAAGATATTTGCACAGTTATGTGCAAATATCTTCGTAATTTATTCCTTACCAAAATATGTTTACATCTTGTATTCCTTTTCAAACCTTTGAAAATGGAGATTAAACTAATGCCATGCATTTCTTCATCATAGACAAGGTCTTCGCTTTAATTAAATACATCCAAGTATATCTGTTGATTGTGCCTTTCTTCTGTATGTTTGGTTAATTTAGAACTCCACATTCCAGATATGAGTTCCCAGAAAAGTTAAATATGGACCAATTTCTTCAAAAACCTGAATCAACTCCAGCTACATATGTGCTCCACGCCGTCCTAGTACACTCAGGGGACAACCATGGCGGCCATTATGTTGTATTCATCAATCCAAAAGGGGATGGTAGGGTAAGTATCAAACAGTATTTTATCTATTCACTTATTAAAAAAAAAAAAGCATTTCATAATTATTTCTATGAGGACTGTGAAAATATTGAAAGCATATTCTGTAATGTGTGTTTATGTGAATTTCCCACATTGATAAGTATCCCCCTTATCTTATGACCTCAGTGGTGCAAATTTGACGACGATGTAGTATCAAGATGCAGCAAGCAAGAAGCCATTGACCACAACTTTGGTGGTCATGAGGATGACCTCAACCTTACGGTGAAGCACTGTACAAATGCTTATATGTTGGTGTACATAAGAGAGTCGTGCCTGAAGACAGTGCTTCAGGAGGTAACGGAGGAAGATATACCGCAGGAGCTCATAGATCGACTACAGGAGGAAAAGCGGGTCGAGATGATCCGCAGGAAGGAACGCAATGAAGCCCACCTCTACATGAGCGTTCAGGTAAGAGTTTTGGCAATATACTGGGATTATGTCTATTTTTATTCTGTTTCTTTCTCTTCAGCTTGTGTATCTTCATGCTACCTCCCACTACTTTGACCTTATTCTTTGAAGATATATTTTCCTTGTATTTTATGGAATTCAGTCAAATGGTTTTATGCCAAGATGAGTACATATATCATGTAAATGGTAAAATCATATATTAATATTCATGTCTTTTTATGCACATATTGATATCTGATATAACATGAAACTTGCTGGTTACCAAAATCATGACATTTCCTCTAATAAATTTACAGGTTGTTTTAGAGGATGCATTTTCTGGGCATCAAGGTAATGATCTCTACGACCCAGACAAGGTCAACTACCGAACATTCCGGGTGAAAAAGTCAGCCACACTCCAAGAGTTCCTAGAACAAGTGGCTGAGAGCCTTGTAAGTGTATTCCTTTGAGAAATGTTAGTTTGTCACTTAGCATACAATTACTGTTGTCTTGTAATATTATTTTGTTCATAATTTTAGTTGGAAGTATATTCTCTTTGGTTTATTTTTTTAGTAATTTAATCCAACACTGATGGGTATCAGAAATCCCTGAGCATCATAAACTGTGGTGATTTCTGGCAATATCCAGACACTGGGCGCGGGAGTCCGTTATGAGTAATGGAACTTCCTGCTCCATGTGCTCTGGCATGTTGCTGTGCATACAGCTGTACCCCGCATATGTTATGATGCTTGTACACGTAACCCGTCCATAAAGGGTTAAGTTGTTTGATATTAACATGTTGGATCCAGCTGCCTCATGGCCAGTTTGGGGATTGGGCTTACTTGAGTGGTGACAGTCGTCTGGGTATGTGGCTTGCATTCCCGGCCTGCATGGACACTCATGTACAGTATCAAGATTCCTTACCACCAATTTGCAATGTTAAGATTTCATTTTTTGAATGAATGTTGTGACCCACTGGAAATATTGCAAGAACCCTTCCTCAATCCCTACTGAGTGTTCCTCCTGAGAACTGTGTATTCTTGATGAGTCATTCATGTCACCTTGGCTCTCTGCACAATTTTTCATGTTTGTACACTCCCATCACCCTGGAAATAATTTTTCCAGTGAAAGTATGATCCTGTCACCTAGCCCTCATCCATATTTTTCATGACCTAAAGGCTATGTTGCCCAGATCCAGTAGGTTAAGGTGACCATTGAAAAAATGTAGTATATGATAATTTTCATCATATGAACTTAATTATAGATATTACTCTTATTCAGCCAGTCAGTCAATAGGAATGGGGCACATAGCTACATCATAAAGGATAAATGTCCCTCATGGCAAGCCGCCATATATTACAACAGATCTAATCTATGTGCTTAAGCCACAACTTCCTAGGTTGTCCCATGGGCTTCCACACTGGGCTTGTCTCATTTGGTGTTAACCTGGTGAGCAGGATTGTCCTCAAGGAAGCAAGCCAGGTGTTCACATAATTTCTGTAAAGGCATTTTCACACACTCTGGCTTGACTCAGTACCTCAGTGACCCCAAGATGTTATTGATAAATGTTTTGTCTTAGAATTTATTGCAATATTTTGTATTATCAGATAATTAATAATAATTTTATAATTTCAGAAATATCCAGTAGAGCAAATCCGACCATGGCCACTAAATCTCCGGACCAACCAGACCAACAGACCGACGCTCTTAGACCTTGAAACAGAACTCCACAAACCTTTATCAGAGGTGAGGTCGCATGCTGGATTGGTTCAAGCCTACATGTCTTTGTGATTATTACAAGCAATAGAAATTTGTGAATGTTTCATAGTATATATGAATTTAGGTAAAAAAAAAACATGAATTATGATTGCTATTTATGTGTATAGATATAGATGTTTAGAATATGAATAGATTAATAGATTAAATAGATAGATAGTGATAGAGATATCTGTTTGACATAATTTTAAAATTCAAAACTGATTTCATACTTTGTAAAAATGTTGTAATTGTTGCAAAAGTACTAATGATCCACTGCCTTTCAGATAAGTGATAACAGTAACCCATGGACGGTATTCATGGAGACAGTGCCTCCAGACTCGGGCCTGAAGGCTCTCACTGCCTTTGACAAAGACTCAGATGTTCTTCTTTTCTTCAAATACTATGACCCACGACACAAACGCTTACATTATTGTGGACACCATTATATGCACATCTCATTTAATGTCCGTAAGTACATCAGCTCTGAGATTTTTTGGACTGTTTGTCTGTCTTTTATTTGTATGCTTTGCAAGTGATTAATGATATTTTGAGTTTTTTGGTTATACAATTTTGGAATCATTGTCTTTAGATTGCAAATACATTTGATGGCTCTGTAGTGTTCAGGTTGTACTTTTGTGTGTCATACACTTATGGTCAGTATCATTGTATATGTGTGTTTAAAATATATTTTTTTATTTTTTTTTTATACATGTTTTATATAGTGTATAATATGTATTTAACTGATTGATTTGTAATTGATATCTTTTACTTGCCATGGAGCAGAGGAGTTGGTACCGCTGTTGAACGAACGTGCAGGACTGCCACTGAGCACAGAACTGGCGCTCTTTGAGGAGATCAAGCCCAACTTGGTGGAGCGGCTGGCTGACCTTGACCGCCCATTAGAGAAGGTGAAGAGTGGAAGAGATTGAGACTATATTTTTGATGAGCTGTATTTAGTCATCTTCATTCTAGAGCTCTTAGTTTGTATTTGTGGTTTGATAAATATATTTGCTCTTTTGTTAAATGAAAGCCATAGAACCAATTCCCCAATTTTAAGCTAGTGGAGTATTATGTAAAAGAATATTCTTTCCCTTTTTTTTGAGAGTTCTGTACTTGTGTACATATTATTAAATGCCTTTCTTAGGATGGCTCTATATTCTAACCTCTTCTTAATCTTATTCCATTATTCAGGTGTTAGATGAACTGATGGACGGTGACATCATAGTGTTCCAGCGAGACGACCTTCTGGACGATCCCAGCCTTGAGCTTCCGTCCTGCCGCGACTACTTTAGGGACCTCTTCTTCCGGGTGGAGGTTTGTCTTCGTTTTTTGTTCTACTTTCAGTTGATGTAGTTGCATCATGACAAGACAGCATCTTCTGTTGTCTTACCAAACCACATGCCAAGATATCTGTTGAGGCAGCTGCTCAAGATAAAATTTATAAGTGCAGGAAACAAATTTATCTTGCTTTCTTGGCTGTGGTATAAACCATTGCTTAAGAAATGAGGCTAAAAAGGTTTGCAATACTTTTAAGGGGTTGTTTATTCTTAAGCACCACAGCTAGTGCCAAATAGGTGAACATCAGTTTAGTGCGCACAACTCAGTGCAGCTCAGATATGCGTGTGTGATGGGCCTTCATCCCAGAATGACGCATGGTCAGCCATGACATGATAGGATGTCACTCTAGATTAAGAGGGGGTTAAAGGGGTATATGTTGGATAATATTTGTCTGCATATAAGGAAGTGGAAGGGGAGAGGGAGTGTTGGTTAGAATATAAGAAATTCTCTTGAGGTTAAAGGACTCAAACACAAGATAAGTATAAGTTTTCTGATACTTTAGATATAGTAACACATTACTTTATCTATTGGAAATAGTACTAAGATGAGAAGTGAAGCTTAGTTTAACTTTTTGATGTACCTTAAGGTGGTTCTCTAATCCTGATACATTGCCTAGTCAGTCCACAGCAGGGCCCAAAATTTAGGGGAGAAATATCCACCTCTGCTTACTTACTTTTCTTATATATTTTAGATGAAATTGAGGTGATTATTTTATACTTTAAAATGTATATTTTATAATGATGATATCACAAGTGTACCAAACATTAAAAAGATGAAGCTCAAGATCAGCGCTGAGGTACTGGGATGGGCATGATTTGGGATAGGGGCTAGGTGGGCAGTCAGGGGACAAGATAGGGAAATATAATGGGAGACAGTTTAATGTCTCATATACCGAGCTTGCAGAAAGGTTTAGGCAAGGAACATTAACATGAAGTTTATATTTCTTACTGACCCACCATCTCCCTCTGCAGGTTACATTCTGTGATAAGACAGTTCCCACGGACCCAGGGTTCACCATGGAGCTGTCCCAAAGGATGAATTATGATCAGATGGCCAGAGCCGTTGCTCATCGTCTCGATACTGACCCGTACCTGTTACAGTTTTTCAAGTCACAGAGGTATGTGTTATTTTTCATGTTGCTATTTTTTTTTTTGTGTGGATTGTTTATGGTGAAAGTAAAGTGATTCTTGATATTGTTTTTGTTATTATTGTTATTGTGTTTTAGAAAGAGGTGCTTCATTTTTTACGTTGTAGTTTTTAAAAGGCTTCCAAATTTCTGGGTTTGGCCTGTGTGTGCATGTGTGTTTTATGCTTTAGTTCTTTTGATTCCTTAATGTCACAAGAGAATATTTATCTTTCAGTTACCGAGATGGGCCAGGCAACCCAGTGAGATGCACCTACGAGGGAACCCTCAAGGATATGCTAGTCTGCATGAAGCCCCGGCACCCTAAAAAAATATACTACCAGCAACTTAGTATTAAGATTAATGAATTAGAAAATAAGAGGCAATTCAAGGTGAGTAGCTATTAGCACCTAAAAACAGAGTATGGCATTTGCCATTACCTGCTATGTGTCCACACTGGAAATCTGCAACAAATATTAGCCTTTGTAATAATAGATTGAAAACAATTAATGAGAATGTGTCTCACCTAATCAATTTTATCATGCCTTTGCTCATATATGATTTATCTGCAGTGTATGTGGCTTGGAGAACGTATGAAAGAGGAGCAAGAGTTAGTCCTGTATCCAAATAAGAATGGCACAGTGGCAGACTTGCTACATGAGGCCAGAAAACAAGTCACATTATCTGAAAATGGATCTGGGAAACTGAGGTAAGTGATTGCAAGAATAGAGCAAGGAAGCCTTTTGATTCCCTGGAATGTGTTACAAGTAAAAGAAAATTTGAATATATATATATATATATATATATATATATATATATATATATATATATATATATATAAATATATATAAATAAAATGTTTTTAACTGAGTTGCATATGTGTATTCTGTCTTGACTAAATTTGATTCTGGTTTCCAGGCTTGTAGATATTTCCTCGTACAAGATCGCCTCGACGCCACCGGAGTCCATGAGTCTAGATGCGCTAAGTACGGCAGGAACGAGATCGTATCGCATTGAAGAAATTCCCCCCGAGGACCTTCATGTCGCTGAGGATGAGATGCTCATACAAGTGGCACATTTCCACAAGGAGATATTTTCTACTTTTGGTATCCCGTTCCTCTTCAAGGTCAAGCAAGGAGAGCACTTCTCTCACGTGCGGGATCGCATCCAGAAGAAGCTGGATGTACCAGACAAAGAATATGAAAAGGTATCAGTTAATAACTCATGGCTTCCCTCATGTAACGTAATATACCTACGTGTGTATTAGGATGATAGTCAATAATGGATGGCAGTGAGAAGGAAAATGATGATAGTCATTTTATAGGAAAACTAGAACTAACTTTGTCTGTGAAAGATTCATCTTGTGAATGTCTGGGCTATTTCTTATTTTAAAGGGTCTTTGTTTGAGGTCCTTTTGGTATGTCTCTAACAAACTGATTCAGATGTGATTATCTGAGGAAGCACATTTTAGAAAGAGAATTAATGTATTGAAATAACAGGTTTTTTGTCATTTTTTAAGGGATTGGTATTATTGATGAGAGGGAGGGTAGGTAGATTTCAATAGAAGTAGTAGTACATATTGTAGAAATGAATCTTGCTCTGTCTGTCTCTGTCTGTCTGTCTCTGTCTGTCTGTCTGTCTGCCTGTCTGTCTGTCTGTCTGTCTGTCTGTCTGTCTGTCTGTCTGTCTGTCTGTCTGTCTGTCTGTCTGTCTGTCTGTCTGTCTGTCTGTCTCTCTCTCTCTCTCTCTCTCTCTCTCTCTCTCTCTCTCTCTCTCTCTCTCTCTCTCTCTCTCTCTCTCTCTCTCTCTCTCTCTCTCTCTATATATATATATATATATATATATATATTGTATATATATTGTATAAATACATGTAGTTTCTCAAAGTATTTTTGGTTTGTTTTTAATTACATGATTTCTTTTTTCAGTACCGGTTTGCTATAGTTGTAATGGGAAGACCAACATTTATCACAGATGATGAAGTAGTTAACCTACAGGAATTCAAACCCCACCCTAACCAGAGTAAGAACAGTTCTTGCCTATTTTTACTTGATATGGTTCCTAAGAAACACTTCAGATACAGAAACATGGATATATATGTGAACTCACATGATTTATAATGCCAAGAGCACCTCTCATGATTTTTGTTCTTCTACAGCCTCCTTGCCTGCCAAGCCATGGCTTGGACTGGAACACGTCAACAAAGCTCCCAAACGCTCCAGATACAACTACTTAGAAAAACCCATAAAGATATATAATTGAGGCAGAGGATAACCATAGGAACATCAGAACATTAAAAAGAGAATTTACCAACCAGTAGGGAGAAAAAGAGGAAAAAAGAAGAGGGTGTTGACCTCCCTGTTCCCATGTGTGGTGTTGGTGCCGTGTGCTGTTCTGCCTTGTGTGGAGCTGCCGGTTGACCATCCCTGACCACCCCCTCCTCGCCTCTTCTCATACACAAGCCTTCACAGTGGTGTGGGGCTGCCATGTGCATGTAACGTGGGGTGTCAGAGAGCATGTGCGGAAGGTGAATGTGGCTGTGTAGTGTAGCTATATGCACTTGTCATGAAGCTTGACAGTTTGCTGTGTTCCAGAAAGGGGTACAAGTGGACACTGTCGGAGATAATGTGGTTTTCTTTTTTTATTGTTATTATTTATTTATCTTTTAGAGAGAACAAACTACTAGAATTTCAGCACGATATTGAATGCTTCGTGAAACTAATGATATATACAGCTGCCATGGCTGAAACTGAAGGCATTTCTTAATGGTTGTTGTCTGACATTTTAAATAGATTGTGTAGGTAATGAATGTGCTTGAAGGCATTATTCGACTTGTAGCCACAATGTTTTATAATTCTGTGATAAGGTAGCTGCATCCGTGGAGGTGAATAATGATTATGCATTACACTGAACAGCTGCATTGTATTGCAAATTACAAGTCAAAAGTTACAAGGTCAAGAGTTGTCACTTCTCGCCCTACATTCACGAGATCTCGCACGTCCTTTTTTAAGAACATGATAAACAGTAGTTCTGCAGGAGTGGGATTCAGAATGGCAAAAGGAAAGTTCGTAGGGCCGATGCATAAATGAGGATATGAAGCAGTGGTTACATTTGATTTTTTACCGTTTGGTGGTGTTTCTGTGGTGTGACTTGCCGTGGTTATGTAATCGCATTGTTTACAAAGCCTTGAAGAAAACAAAAAAAAGTATCAACAAAGCTTGCCAGAAAAAGTTTTATTTGAGGAACCAGATTATGCAACCTTTCATAGCCTTGTGTAATGTTCTACTTAGCCGGTAGGCAAGGAATTGTCGTTCAGCTCTTCTAACCTCACTTTAATGGAATTATTGGTCACTTACAAGGGGCAGCTTCATGGAATGCCTATATAAATGTATCTGTCAAGTCCTATATTCAACCCCATGTAGCTTTAATCACCTTGGGAAAAAAAGTATTTCATTATAATGTTAATGTAACATATTTACTTTAACTTTAAACAATGAAGAAATTGTAGCTTATCTCATTTTAGGCACTATGCTAGTTTCAGGGACATAATAGAAGTGAGTATCCAAACTTTAACAGTGTTTTTACAGTGAATGTAACATTTTTTATTTGTTTTGTGCAGAATGAGGTACATTTAACTCCAGAACCTCTCTATTATGCTCTGTATGGGTTGTTTTGCTCTTATTATAATCGTCTCAGTGACCCACATAATAATATGTGTCCATCCTTAGGAACTTGTGGGATTACCTTCGTATTATTTTATTTTTTCCAGTGTACAGTAGTGCCTTAATTTCAGTCTTTTGAGTATTTTTTCCAGAGAGGAGACCTTTTTTTATTTATATTGTTTTGTTATTTTAATGTGGTTATTTATCTGTAAAGACTTCACGCTTTTAATAAAGCTATCGTGTGTATAGAGTCAATACACAGCTGTATCTACATCTCTTTAAAAAAAAGAAAAAAAGGAAAAAAAATCAAGATGTATATTCCACAGTCACACACACCTCATAGAGAGAGTAGGAATGAGTATGTGGTAGTCTTATTCAAAAAGAAGGTACTGAGGCACTGCAACGGTGGAAATGTGAAGGGCAGCACACCACACCACCACCACATCACCATCACCATCACCATCATGTTAACACCACTGACACCCCTCCAACGAGTTAATCCCCCTAACTTCCCCTCCCCTCCCCTCCCCTCCCCTCCCCATTTCCCTTCCCCTGACCCTTCACTCCCTCCCCTTCCCTTTTCCAAAGACACCCCCCTCCAGCCCCTCCCTTTCAAGTCTCCCCTCCCCACCCTCCTCACCTTGCACCATGACTGTGATACTCCGGCAGTGATCCATTCTGTACCAGCTGCACTTTGGGTCTTCGTGTAATGGATCAGTCAAGTAAATAAAAGGGAAAACTTCAACACACCAGTTTTATGCAGCATGAGAGATGTACAGGTTTAGACTTAAAAAAAAAAAAAAAAAAATTAATACTTACAGAATTTATAATGGAGTACCATATAAAAAAGATTATCCCCCACTATCCCTCGTTTCATTTTTTGAGAATATTTAAATAATTACATGGTTATTGAAATTTCATATGACAGATTTAAGGAGTCAATGTTATTAAGAATAAATACCGAAACCCCAGCTTATTTATACAGTTTCATTAGTTTATTTCTAATACATGACCGTATTGTTGTATATTAGGATTTTGTGACCACTGTGAATGGTTGAGAGTATTCTTGGTCACTATGGATGATGCATTTGATTAAACATGATTTTTTTTTCTTTTTTTTTTCTGTACGGTGCCCCCTCCCCTTCCCCCAAGTGAATTTTGTTATTTATTTATTATTTTTAAAAATTTCTTTTACCATTCTGAGTGCTGTTACCCACATGTTGCATTATCACCTAATTTGGTGCATGGACATGAGTCGGTAGTGTCAACTTGGCCCCCATCCTCTTTTCTCATGTGGGTGTAAGGGTTAGACCAACCCATAGCTTGCCTGCATTTTTAGTTTGTGTTGGGCAGCTGTGAGCACTGTTGGGGCACCTCAGGGCACCAGGGGGCACCACCTTCACCATCACCACCGCAGGGAGGACCTCGGCACTAGGTCTTGATTTTTCATTTTTACCCTCCCTATATTTCTAGGCTTTCATATGCTGTACAGTTGATGAAATTAGTTTTATTTACGGGTGTCCATATTACAGTTTTACAGAGAACATGCTTTATATGCCCCCATAGGAGAGCAGCAAAATGAGTGAGTCTTTTGGTCAAAGGCGTACCATTGCTTTCATGGACACTTTTTAGCCAGACACAATCTGTACTTCTGTTAATAAAAGTAAATCAATCATAAGTAATAATAACGTGTAAAAAGATTCATGATCAGTGTATTTTTTAACCTTTATAATGATTTGTGGATTGTGGTCCACCTGTGTAAATTGTTTTGTTTTGCGATTTTATTAATTTGATATCAAGAAAAACTGGTTCGTATGAAATTATAAATTTTGCAGGCTGATTGTCTACAAAAATGTCTTTGTTACAAGTTGCAATAACAGTTGCAACATAGGGAATATTGAAGAAAGAACACTTGTTATATTTATATAGCTAACATATATGGATGTATAGTATTGATGGAAAGTTCTTAAAAGAATGTAGCTATGTATCTTCACTGTTTATTACTTCCATTTGGAGTTATTCTTTATGCTAAGAAAATATTTTTTTCAGTATCGTAATGTAATTTTATTGTGACAAACAAGTACAATCCAAATTTGTTAAATGTTACCGACATATGTGCATATACTCCAGCTTTAATGTAGGTGGTCTGTAATGACTTTATTATTAGGTTGTGTATGATTGATATATTTTATGTGCTTGTTATTTATTCAAGAAGGGTGAACAGTTTGAAATAATCGAAAACGTAAGGTATGAGCCATAATTGACAGTAATCCTTTTTTTCAACCTGTGAACGAAAATGCAAAAACAAAAAGGAATATTTACAGAAAGAATACAGTAATCACACATGAATAAAGCAAGTATTCATTTGTTGTGATCAACACAAACTGAAGTAGCAATTTTGCTTGAGAAAATATCCATTGAATCATAAACTATACCTGCTAATAATGCAAAGAAATAAGCCTTGTTGCTGCTGTGGAATTAGCAGTGTATTTGGGATTACGATGAGCATATATAAGGTAATCACACATTAAACAAAATCTGTACACACGTACACGTATACGTACACATACATACGTATATGTAGGCATTTGGAGGTGAGAGAAAAAAGGTTTATACCAACATTTAAACCTAGAGCCATAAGCACTCATCGCAAATGAGAAGTTCAATTACACCATTACCGTTCATACACATTAGAATACTGAAACAAGCGAATGGGAAAGCCTAATGACATAATTTGCATATCGGTACCAGTGGAATCTCAATATTTGGATGTTTTTACTGCCCATTTTGTTATTCACGCGTCACCACTGAATAAAATCTATTTAAGGATTTAAACTGATAACCTCTCGTTACGTAGGCAAGAGTGTGAACAGGAAGTCGGATACACTGTACATTGACCTACACGACACAACAGAAAAAACTACGATTTTTTCTTGAGGCTTATGTCCCCGTGAGAGGGGGAAATGTGCCTTAATTGCAACATGGGTGGAAAAAAAAGTATTTAAAACCATTCCCATTGCCAGCCTGTCAACACGCCGTCAGTAATCTCTGATCTGCAAGTACACTTTAGCTTATTTGAGAAAGTAAAGTTTAGCTAATTATGGTGTGGCAATAAAAATCAGCAAAGGATACAGGCGTATATTTTTGAGATTAGTTTTTATTTACCCTGCTAGTTGGATACTTAGGCATTTATATACATTATATCCCCTCTTATCTCTCGAAAATATTTAAAAAATAAAACCGGCGCATCTTTAAGTAACGTGCTTAAGAAAGTCTTCAAATGGGTGGACAGAGTACACCTGCTGGACGAGGGCAAGGAATGATTTACAACTTATGATATTAATTTACGCAAGTAATAGTAATACTGTGTGATTTTGGCTAGTACCCCACGCGGTAATGCTGTACAACGAAAAAAATAAATAATTAGATGATAATAGATAATCTACAATTAGGAGTGAAGTAGTAGAAAACAAAAGTCAGACTAACTTTTAGGTGATATAGCCAATTCAAAGTTTGTAATAGGCACGAATTCGACATCCCTCAAGGATGCCAAATATTCAGTTCTACGCATACTGTTGTCCTATCCACCCTTTACTGCAGCCTGTTCCTCTGCTTTCCCTCTGCTTTCCCTCACCTATCCTCCCTTCACCAACCTCCTAACCTGTCAGACATCCTTACGGAATCCCACGCTTTTTGCTTTGACAGCCTGCTCTTCCTCAGGCACATACATTTCCTTCACTTGCTTAATCCAACCTTAACGATTCAACTCATCGCCTCCTTTACCCATCTTGAACCTTTCCAATGCTATTATAGATTGCTGACGTAGAGCAACTAATTACTCAACCCCCCTTCCTACCTTTTTTTAATACTATATCTTCCTATAGTGCTACATGACCTTAGATGTCGATCACATTTTTTGAGGGGTTATATATCGTACTACGAGCGGAAAAATAGTCAGAAAAAAATCGGAATTTAATCGGATATAAAACAAATGTACATGCAAGAAACGTGTGGTATTTCCCCACATTATGTCATAGTTTTGACAAGATTTTCTATTTTTTCATATTGAAAAAAAAGAAAGGGGTGCATTCTGTACGGTTTATAGCACATGGGCCATATTCCATACGGCACTACCAAATGGACATTTACATTGGAGTGCTAACAGATTACTTTATGCTGCCTTGATAACAGCATTTTACTGAAAAAAACTATTATTCTAGTCTCAAAATACATTGAAAAAGTAAAAAATAATCAAAATTAACTTGCTGCTGGCCAATGACATCTCCATCCACGAGGCTTGGCTTATATGGCGGCCATGCAGCAGCGTCCCCAGCTCAGCCTCAACGAAGCCTTAGACCAGTAAGCCCAGTACGAGTCATAGCCCCTTCACCCTACATTGTGATTCTGTTGTAATTTTCTCATGTTCAGGAATGCTAGATAAAAAGCAATTTTGGCTAAACAAAACATTCTCTCTCTCTCTCTCTCTCTCTCTCTCTCTCTCTCTCTCTCTCTCTCTCTCTTCATCTATCCGTCTGTCTATCTTTCTATCTCATTGTATCTATTTTTAGTTAGGTCTGTCTCTATTTCTATTTGACCCTAGTTTTTTCTATCTCTCTCTCTTTTCTCTTTCTCACACGAGAGCGAGAGTGAGATAGTGAACGAGAGAACGATGTTCAAAGAAACAAGAGAAATAAGAAAACAAGGCACATATAACCAGATAGCTCCACTTCCACTGAAATTGACGTTTCCCAATAGTATTCTGATATCTGTTTATGGTAAGGAACTCTTCGTTACCATTAATATATGAGGGTCATTTTGGTTTTACTCCTGGTAAGTATAACTATTGAGTAGATTATACGAATACTTATCTAGGTATATCCGGTATCTCATGGCGCACTCTCACTGGCTACGTGACGTCATTAGGTCCGCCCCCTTTTTGACTTCAATAATTTGTACGTTATTATATGGTATGTGTTATTTCAGTGTGTGTGTGTGTGTGTGTGTGTGTGTGTGTGTGTGTTCATTATACTGAACAGGAAGATGGGGAAGTAGAATATTGGAAAGGAAAAGAAAAAGAATGAAGAATAATAATATTGGAAACAAAGGCGAAGACGAACATGAAAAAGGAAGATGGAGAAGACGAAGAGGAAGATGGTAAAGAAGAATATTAAAAAGGAAGATGGAGAAGAAGAGTATTAGAAAGGAAGAAGGAAAATAGGTAAAGGAAGATAAAAAAGAAAAGTATGAAAAAAAATGATGACGGAGGAGAAAATGATTGGAAAGAAATATAAGGAATAATAGTAACTAACATACGAAGGAAAATGAAACAGCAAAAAGGAGAATGGAAAGGAAGTGATGTAAAGGGAAATGAAGAAAGAAAGGATTATTAGCAAAACACGAAGGGAAATATATTGTTAAGGAAGAAGGGGGAAAAGAAAAAGACGAATATTGATGAGGAAGAAAAATAAAAAAGGGAGGTAGAGAATAATATTAATAATGAAAAAGAAAATGAGGAAGGAGGATGCTGAAAAATAAAGATAGAGAAGGAAAAGAAATAGCAGAAGGGACTGAAGAAAAGAAAAGGAATATTGGAAAGAAAAATGAAGAATCATAACAAATAAAAACAAAAAAAAAATCAGGAAAACAATTATAAAACAAAACGCCACCGAAAGAAAGAAAAAAATCAACAAATAAAAACAAAAAATCAGGAAAACAATTATAAAAACAAAACGCCCCCGCAAGAAACAAAGAAAGAAAGGAAAAAACAAACAAAAAAGAATTTAAAAAAGGAGAAAATAACCGACGAAAGAAGATGAAGAAGAAAATAAAGAAAATACGGCCCTAAGTCCCTTGATCCCGTCCCTTCCCCTTCCCTTCTCGGGCCTCATATCGTCCTAAGGGGAAAGTGATGGCCTCAGATCTTCTCCTCATGACCTGGGTTTCAGGGCTGTTCCTAAACGACCAAATCTCCCTCTCCCTCCCCCCTCTTTTTTTTACGCCCTTGCTCTTCTTGTTTCTAGTTTATTGTCTTTTTTTTGGGGGTGTTTTGTGTTTTTTTTTTGTTTTTTTTTTCGTTTCCTGTTTTTTTTTCTTTTGTCTCCCTTTCTCTCTCTCTCTCTCTCACTCTCTCTCTCTCTCTCTCTCTCTCTCTCTCTCTCCTTTTTTATCTCGTTGGGTTTTCTCTTATCCTCTTTTATATTTTCATTTTGTTTTATATAGATATGTATATTCCCATTATTCTTCAATCTCATGATCCCTCATTCCTTATTCTTTCTTCTATGTCCATAACTTTCTCCTCATCAAAACTCGGATCCTTATAGTGGCTTAGAACTTCTTTTCAGGACTTCAGAGCGTATTATATCATCCTGACATTAATCGTTATCACACTCGATTCATCTACAGTACGTTTGTTTGTTTACGTAGGGTTAGCGTGGTCAAAGTGTATTATTCTGCATCGCGTGTGTGTATCTTTGGGACATGTAGTGTAGGCAAGTACAGTATTGCAGTTCGGAGCGTCTGGTCTTATATATTGTGGTTCGTGCGGAGTGTAAGTAGCTGATGATGTATTGGATTTTGATAGGAAGCCTATGATAGGGTACAAGGCTCGACGAATTGCAAGTTGCAAGCTGGTAGGGTAATTTTTCGTCGTCTATTGATAGATGAATGAGTAAAAAAATAAGTGGAATTGATAGATTATTATTAGA